AAAAAAAAAAAAAAAAAAAACTTTATGGAAATAGGGTTTGAACCCTTGAGAAGTTGAGATCGTCCATGTATTGGGAAGACAAATATTTAATGGTGGGAGAGAAATATTCAAAAGGTTATTGAAAGGGAATTTTGGGTATAAAAATACGCCTGAAACCCTAATTAGGACGTAAAATTACCTAAATGACCCCATTTGGGTCAATATGGTCAAAAACGGTGTGGCCAAAAGGATTTTTCCTAAAACTTTTTAGAACAGGAAATAAAGCTTTGTAATATTCAGAGCATTACTTGTGGGATTACATTGAGTATGTTGTTGTTATAAATAATAGACGACACGAAGGACTTAAACTACTGCTGTTTTCAACAAGCCTGTCCTTAATGCAAAGTCTCGACATTCGCTTGGAAATTAGCAATTTCCGCTTTCATCTCTTCTCTATCCAAGGTCGTTTCCCTCAACATCTATACGTTATGCCAAGCGAAATAGATCCAGAAGACCAGAATTGAGAGTTTCTAAACTTGCAAAGGCTATATGTTACTCTTTTTGTTTACTTGTCCAATATACTAAAGATAGGTTTTCTTTTTTACTTGTTCACCTTAGCAATTTCAATTTTGCCTTTACCATTAAGTATTCATTTTTCAAAGTAATTGAAGTCCTAGTGGTTAATTTTAGAATTTCAAAGTACCATTAATAAGAATAATTTAGTAAAAGAAATACTTAATTAATATTTTCTTAAGATAAGTGAGAAATGCAAACTAGTTACGGAACGGACGGAGTATTTAATTGTTCTCATATAGGAGCATATGGTTTGAACTATAAATGATCTTTGTATTTTGTAGCTTTATACGTTTGATTGAAGCCTAAATAGTCTAGACTATAAAAAACAACTTACATCGCAAGAGTACAACTAATGTGCTAAAGCTAACGACTACGATTTTAACCACTAGTCATATTGTTGATTTGTCTTCTTGTAATTTCCCTCTTTATCATGGTATTTAGTTGTCACTGACAACTGACAAGGTAAACGGAGCTTTAGGTGGGCAAGTATTTTTTTTTTCCCTCAACATTTTTTGGTCTTCTCTACTTCCTTTCCGTCTTTACACTTAAAAGTGTACAAATGACCACCAATTAGGCCAGGAAAATAACACCTACGAAAAACAAATGTCAACGATTGGAGACCAAATATGTAACAAGTAGAATAGGGATACAACTGAACCATATCCATCCCAACGGGGATCAACTTGACAATCTATTTATATCCGAAACAATGTGGATTAGTTAACTTATAAGTGTATTGGTCAAAATCTGACAGTTGTGGTCGACCCAGTTGGGACCACGTCCAAACTCCAAATAATGGGATAAAGAAAGACGACACTATTTACACTAAACCATGTATTCACTGAACGACGAAAGCGGACGCGAAGTAAAGGGGGCTATGGCCCAAATACATGTCAATGACTCCATGACTATATATAGGAGTGAGTCCTTCCTAGAAATGGGGGCTTTTTCTTCTCCCTCTCCTTAATAAAAAGGAAGGAAAACAATCTTCCAAATTTTTTTTCACAACAGTTATCTTCACCGATTGGTGAGAGAAGAAATGAAAGGCTTTGATAGTTTATCGCTTCTACTCCATTTTGTGTATTGTTTTCTGGTTTGTTTATAGATCTGGAATTTGCTATATTTGACTAAGATTTACCTCTTCAACTTCTTTTCTAATTGATTTAATAAAAAATATTTCAATATTCTTTGGTCAAACAATTTGGCGCCGTCTGTGGAGATTTCTTAGTGAAAACTTCCTAATCTTCTCCAGATCAAAAATCGGAAACATGGCCACCCACCAAAGAGAACGGTAAGGATACGTTTGCAACTGTTTTAAAAAAAATATAGAGGAGACGGAAAAAGGAGAATTAAGCACCCCATGACCAAATGAGGGGAAAGAGAGCTGAATTTGGTTACCAAATTCAGAAAACATCACCCCCATCAACCATTAAAACGTCAAGCAAAAACGAGCAACGTTATAGATCTACCTTCATTCTCCAACTCATTGAATCGAAATAAGGAGAAGGCGTCCTTGCCCACCTTCTATCGATTGCTCGAACACTAATGCGGGCGCCACGCGGGCGAGCGAGCAAGGAAACAACTTAACTAAAGAAAGAGAAATTACTATAAAACAACCGAAACATCACCCACCAAACAAACTCAACTCCTAGGAAATGATACCCCTTGAGTGCTACTCCCTCACCCTCGCCAAGAAGGCGTCCCAAAAGAGCCCTCCCGGGGACCTAAAAGCTTGGACGACGAGGGGGAGATCCCCTAAGTCGAAGTGTAATTCATCGCCCCGCCCAACAACGACATTTCCAAACCGGAAAATAAAAGGTCAGCCAGGGAAATTCTAATATCCGCGCGAAACGAGTGCAAGCACAACAACGCTCCCTGCTCCCCGACATCGCACGCCCGATGCAAATAAAATCAAGCAAACTGGGACTCCCCCAAAAGATACCCAACTCTCCAAAAAACCGGGACTCACGACGGGTTAATATTTTGACAAAAGTTCGAAATAACACCCTTAAGGCCAAGGGCCTTCGCCAAAGAAAAGAGTTCGACCTCGATCGAATAACGACGGGTTAATATTTTGACAAAAGTTCGAAATAACACCCTTAAGGCCAAGGGCCTTCGCCAAAGAAAAGAGTTCGACCTCGATCGAACAACGACAGGTAAATATTTCGACAAAAGTTTGAAATAACACCCTTAAGGCCAAGGGCCTTCGCCAAAGAAAAGAGTTCGACCTCTATCGAACAACGACGGGTTAATATTTCGACGAAAGTTCGAAATAACGGCCTTCGCCAAAGAAAAGAGTTCAACCTCGATCGAATAATGACGGGTTAATATTTCGACGAAAGTTTGAAATAACACCCTTAAGGCCAAGGGCCTTCACCAAAGAAAAGAGTTCAACCTCGATCGAACAACGATAGGTTAATATTTTGACGAAAGTTTGAAATAACACCCTTAAGGCCAAGGGCCTCCGCCAAAGAAAAGAGTTCGACCTCGATCGAACAACGACGGGTTAATATTTCGGCGAAAGTTCGAGATAATACCCTTAAGGCCAAGGGCCACCGCCAAAGAAAAGAGTTCGACCTCGATCGAACAACGACAGGTTAATATTTTGATGAAAGTTCGAAATACACCCTTAAGGCCAAAGAGTTCGACCTCGATCGAACAACGACGGGTTAATATTTCGACGAAAGTTCGAAATAACACCCTTAAGGCCAAAGATTTCGACCTCGATCGAACAATGAGGGGTTAATATTTCGACGAAAGTTCGAAATAACACCCTTAAGGCCAAGGGCCTTCGCCAAAGAAAACAGTTCGACCTCGATCGAACAGCGACGGATTAATATTTCGACGAAAGTTCGAAATAACACCCTTAAGGCCAAGGGCCTTCGCCAAAGAAAACAGTTCGACCTCGATCGAACAGCGACGGATTAATATTTCGACGAAAGTTCGATATAACACCCTTAAGTCCAAAGGCCTTCGCCAAAGAAAAGAGTTCGATCTCGATCGAATAACGACGGGTTAATATTTCGACGAAAGTTCGAAATAACA